GTTCTGACACACAGCACAGGTACTGACACACAGCACAGGTACTGACACACAGCGCAGGTTCTGACACACAGCACAGGTACTGACACACAGCGCAGGTTCTGACACACAGCACAGGTACTGACACACAGCACAGGTTCTGACACAAGCAGCAGAGGAATGGAAGACAAAGGTCCAGTATAAGAGGCAGTCAGAGCAGGTGCCGAGTCCACATGAGCTGTGTTTATTAAAAAGACAAAACTTTTTTTTGGAAAAATGAACTGAAAAATGAACCGAACCGTGGCCTCTGAGCCGAGGTCCGAACCGAACTGTGATTTTTTCAAACCGTTGCACCCCTAACACATACCCATGCACATACATACACTCACTCACACACCTACAGTGCCTTGCGAAAGTATTCGGCCCCCTTGAACCTTTCAACATTTTGCCACATTTCAGGCTTCAAACATAAAGATATACAATTTTAATTTTTTGTCATGAATCAACAACAAGTGGGACACAATCGTGAAGTGGAACGAAATTTATTGGATAATTTAAACTTTTTTAACAAATAAAAAACTGAAAAGTGGGGCGTGCAATATTATTCGGCCCCTTTACTTTCAGTGCAGCAAACTCAGTCCAGAAGTTCAGTGAGGATCTTTGAATGATCCAATGTTGTCCTAAATGACTGATGATGATAAATAGAATGCACCTGTGTGTAATCAAGTCTCCGTATAAATGCACCTGCTCTTTGATAGTCTCAGGTTCTGTTTAAAGCGCAGAGAGAACCATGAAGACAAAGGAACACACCAGGCAGGTCCGAGATACTGTTGTGGAGAAGTTTAAAGCCGGATTTGGATACAAAAAGATTTCCCAAGCTTTAAACATCTTAAGGGCCCTGTGCAAGCAATTATATTGAAATGGAAGGAGTATCAGACCACTGCAAATCTAAGACCCGGCCGTCCCTCCAAACTTTCATCTCAAACAAGGAGAAGACTGATCAGGGATGCAGCCAAGAGGCCCATGATCGCTTTGGATGAACTGCAGATAACTACAGCTGAGGTGGGAGAGTCTGTCCATAGGGCAACAATCAGTCGTGCACTGCACAAATCTGGCCTTTATGGAAGAGTGGTATTTCTCAAAGATATCCATAAAAAGTCTTGTTTAAAGTTTGCCACAAGCCACCTGGGAGACACACCAAACATGTGGAAGAAGGTGCTCTGGTCAGATGAAACCAAAATCAAACTTTTTGGCCACAATGGAAAACTATATGTTTGGCGTAAAAGCAACACAGCTCATCACCCTGAACACACCATCCCCACTGTCAAACATGGTGGTGGCAGCATCATGGTTTGGGCCTGCTTTTCTTCAGCAGGGACAGGGAAGATGGCTAAAATTGATGGGAAGATGGATGGAGCCAAATACAGGACCATTCTGGAAGAAAACCTGTTGGAGTCTGCAAAAGACCTGAGACTGGGACGGAGATTTATCTTCCAACAGGACAATGATCCAAAACATAAAGCCAAATCTACAATGGAATGGTTCACAAATAGACGTATCCAGGTGTTAGAATGGCCAAGTCAAAGTCCAGACCTGAATCCAATCGAGAATCTGTGGAAAGAGCTGAAGACTGCTGTTCACAAACGCTCTCCATCCAACCTCACTGAGCTCGAGCTGTTTTGCAAGGAAGAATGGGAAAGAATTCCAGTCTCTCGATGTGCAAAACTGATAGAGACATACCCCAAGCGACTTGCAGCTGTAATTGCAGCAAAAGGTGGCGCTACAAAGTATTAGCGCAAGGGGGCCGAATAATATTGCACGCCCCACTTTTCAGTTTTTATTTGTTAAAAAAGTTTAAATTATCCAATAAATTTCGTTCCACTTCACGATTGTGTCCCACTTGTTGTTGATTCATGACAAAAAATTAAAATGTTATATCTTTATGTTTGAAGCCTGAAATGTGGCAAAATTTTGAAAGGTTTCGCAAGGCATTGTAGGTGGTATGGCTTATATACAGGCGCCTTACAGTCCTGAAAGTACGGTACACATATCAGCAAAGAACCATCTAGCATAAATCTCTAGTAGCTACTTCTGCAAATGTTTGTTATCTTGAAAAAAAAGCTATTTGCGATGTTGTGATATCACATGTGTTATCTTTCCAGCGGATTATGTCCCCTTTCAAAAGCCTCAACAAAGCATTAGGGAAGGACTGTTTAAAGTGGGCTCTTTTATGTCTGCTGTAAAAAGCCCCTGGATGACCTCATGCCGGCTCAAACTGAACTATAGAAGCCAATTAAAGGGAGAGTTTTTATCTCCTGCTACAAAAATATCAGAGAAGCCAAGTCTGAACTTCAAAGCCTTGTTCCATTCAACCGTTTATAGTTATCTTGATTAAAAACATGCACAAAAATCAGGGAATTTTGACCCCAAACCCCAGGGCGCCCTTTCCTCACACACTGAGGGCTGGTGTCAGAGCGACTCGGCATCTAACCCCGCTTGCGACCCATCTTTTTGCCGAGGTGTGTACAGTGTAAGCATTGCAACCAAACATAGCAATAATTACAGACAGATTTCGCCTGATCCGCTTGGTTCGGACCATGAATCCTCTCTGCTCTGGTCTGGACCAGTGTAAAACCATGAACACTGTACTGCAGCAACATCTCAGGTAGAAAAATTGTAAAACACAAGACAACAACTGTTTCAGGGACAGTGAGGGCTCGCTTCCGTTTTTCAGCTCATTAAAAAGTGAACCTCTTGGGCCTTCCTTGGGTCCTCTTTACCTCAATCCAATACAGCATCTCTCTCCCGGTTTAATTTCCTTTTGTCTTTGTCTGTATGTAACTTGTAATTATTAAAGGTGCAGTACGCAATATTGTTAGCTTAGCCGTAGCATCAAACTGGAAACCACTCCCCCCTCCCCTCGCCTCTACACAAAACCAAACATCCAGCATTTTTTTTTCTTTGTCACAACAGGGAGAGTGTGCGGCGTACGTGAAATTGGCATTTTCTGTTCAGTCATTTTAGGTTTAGGGATATCTGATAACTTAGGTGCACTTGTGAGAAACAGTAAGAGGGTGAAGGAGGTAAACGCATCTCATTGGTTCGTTGGGGATGAACGAATCCCATTGGTTTATTTTTATCGGTCCGCTCCAAAATATTTTTTATTATTTTCTGGCGACTATAGGCATCTGGTCAATTCCATTACTATTTGAAAACATATGATAACAAGATACTTAGGGTTTAGGGATCTGTAAAAATCACTGACTGCATCTTTAAATGTCATTAAACGTTCTTTTCTTACATCCACCTGGTTTTAAGATAAGAGGGGAAATTTCAATGTTGCAGCGCACATAGCCTCTAAGTTAGCAACAAATGTTAGATCATCATAAGGAGGACTGCACTAAGTTCTAGATTCAACAAAAACAGAACAGAAAATCACACAGTTTCGAAAACAATAATAACAAGTCCATTACGAGCGGATGATCAATGTCCAGAACGTCAATAAATACTGCATCAACAAATGACTTCAAATGTCCTTAAATCATCACCTTCTGTCCCATCATGAACAAGCTTTCAAACCGGTTCCGTTGTTGGAAAAAAAACCCAATATTCTCACCTTTGCTCCGTTACAGTAAATACCACACATCTCTTTGGAAAAGGCTTGTGCCGCAGATTGCACTGTACTCTGGGTCCAAAGGAAAGGACCAAACCGACCCTCCTTCCGTTCATAATTATATACATGTATTTTTATATATACATTTTCAGATTCTGTTGAAGTAGTGAAGATTCAGCCTGTTTTTAAATCTTAATAATCATAATGGAGGCTAATAAGATAATCAATCAATTCAATCCTTCGTTATTCATTAAGCCCCTTACAAAAACTCAAGGCGACCAAAGTGCTGCACAATATAACCACATAAAATCCATAACAAAGTATATTACATTCAAGCTTACTGTACGCTGAAAGGTCTTTTAACGTGTACCCTGACTAAATATGTGTAAAAACCGTGCTGTTTTTAATTAGGGAACAATTAAACATGATTAAAGATTCATGTTGAACACTTGGAATGGATTTTCAAAAATGCAGGGTTACTCAAAGAAACCACAGTTGTATTCACCAAATTCTCCGAGAGTCTCCAGTCCTGTTTCAGCATAGTTTTAAGCCTTTCATTATTCCACAGAACCCTTTAATAACATTTTATTGTCAAACTTGAGTTGAACAGACGGAAACAACCACCAGCACCCCGGCGCACACAAACCACTGTAAATAATGGAAATGCTCTCGGACATTTTTGTGGCTCCGTTCTACAAAAACAATGCTTCCCCGGGTTCCCATGTGCGCTTCACAAGCCCCGGGCCGTGGGTTCATTACGGGGCACACTCAGATTAGACTAGATTAGGCGCAACTGCAGCTCTCACCTTCGTTTTCAGTTCACAATAACATCACAATCTGCCAAGGTTGCAATATTCCAAACAGTAGAGAAACAATGTATACATCTTAATTATTATTATGTTCAAGATAGAGATTTTATACTTGTTCTTTGATGCTGGAGTTAGAGATTTTGTTTTATTTTAATAAGTATAGCTATGGCTGATTGATTCTGTGCAGTGTTCTCCTCATTCCTACTGTTCTGTAACTTTCCCCACTGTGGGATGAATCTTAATCTTAAATCCCCAGTATCTGAGGCTATGTCCAGGATTCTCTGATCGGCCGCTTGGGGCAGAGCTCTAAAGATGTAATTATGAATGTCTGTTCAGATAGACCACAAATCCTCACTTACATACATACTGTATAATTATACTTACATGTATACTTAAATACATACATATATCTTGTTTTGTTCAGCACTTATGAATTGTGCTTTACAAATAAACTCCCCTTGCCAACAGGACTCACTCCACACTAAACTGTACAATGTGTCAATCTAACTTCAAGCAGCAGTAAAATAAATGCATAAACCAAAAATGTTTGTGTCTATTAATTATTTTATCATCTTTAGCTTGTAGATATTTGGGACAATTTTTTATGTTTTGGACGTAGCACATTCCTACGTCCAAAGCGTCAGGAAGTGTTAATAGTATGAACGTGAACGAATCAGTGAACCCTGTAGCTGTGCCTAGTCGGCCCCTATACCTCTGCCTGGTCGGCCCCCTATAGAGGTAAACAGGCCCCTATACTCCTGTTTGGGAGATGGCTTCCATGTCCGATGCTGAAAGAGGCAAAGGACCAGGAAGTGCCAGATGTGTTGCCTACTTCATTTTAAATCCTCTCACCTTCACCACACAATCTTTTTTAAATCCATACAAACCCACACACACACACATATATATATATATATATATATATATATATATATATTATATATATATATATATATATATAATATATATATATATATATATATATATATATATATATATATATATATATATATATATATATATATATATATATATATATATATATATATATATATATATATATATATATATATATTATATATATAAATACAGTATACGTATATACACACACACACACCCACGCACACACACTTACACACATATGCACACACAGTCAGTGAAAAATATGAATAAACCCCACATTCTGGTCAAACGCACTAAAATCGTTGTGCAAGCTCTAGTTCACATAGTTTCTTATAGTTTCTGAGAGCCGCCTGTCCATCTGCTTATCATTTCTCTGCTCAGAGTATGGATTAAAACCATCTGAAACATTAAACATTATGAGCAGAACAAAGCAACACGAGTAAAGCAGCATCACAGGACTGTAAAAGTCGTGAAAGCATGGATCGCATTAGCTCCTGACATATTTTCCAGCGCGTTCCCTTGATTATCTCTTACCTTAGACTTGGCTCTCATGAACGGGGCGCTGACGTTGCAGAGTCTTTGCAGACGGAGACGGTCCTCACTGCTACACACGATTCTGATGTCAGAGTTGTCCTGCACAACAAGAGACACACAATAGTAATAATAATAATGCTTTGGTTTTATACAGCGCCTGTTGGACACTCAAAGACGCTTCACATGTCATTACTCTTTTACTCCAAACATAGTGGTGATAAACTACTATTGTAGCCATAGCTGCCCTGGGGCACACTGATAGAAGAGAGGCAATCAGTCTGTGCCATATGACTCTCCGACCACTATCAACCATTCACACAAACCCCAGACTCATTCTAAATGGGTGAAGTGTCTTGCCTAAGAACACAACGGTAGTGTGGCACTTTACAGCCGCAGCAGGACCTGGTCTTCCCAGAGGTCTCCCATAGCAGTACTAACCAGGCCCAGCTTTGCTTCGCTTCAGAGGTCTGTCAGGCTCTGACTTTCACATGCAGGTATGGCTATCACACACATGACCCCTGAACACATTCTGTCAAGTAGCAATATTCCAAACATTAGAATAACCCTCAAACCCCAGGATCTGACAGTTTTACCTATGCAACAAAACCACAGAGTGAGTGTCTGTTCAGAAAGGCACACACATACTCACACACACGCACACACACACACACACACACACAGAGACACACACACACACACACACACTTTACAGCAGCAGCCGCCTCACTGTGGCACCTGGCGTTCCCAGAGGTCTCCAGTTCCATCACAATACTAACCAGGCCCTGCCCTGCTTAGCTTCAGAGATCTGAGAGGATCTGGCTTTCACCTGCAGCAACTGTCTGACCATCACACACACATGACCCCTGACCTTTTGGTTCCTTTGGTTCCTTTTGGGTCCGTGCCAGTCTCACCTTCACATGCAGGCTGGACAGGCGCAGGTTGGCCGTGTGGCTGATGTTAATGCGGGCTCCATAAGCGTTTTCCCCTCTGTTTTCCAGCCGGACGTCCACCACCATCCTCCCCCTGCGGGCCTCCATCACCCTGAGGCTGCCCTCTGTGCCCGCCTCCCCCACATTTCTGCAGAAGACGCCCTGAGACTGGACCGGCTGAGCACAGAACTGCCTGAGAAAGAGGAAATGTGACCCACTTTTACACTGAGTCCCAAAAAAGAAACTCCTCACGTCCTTCATCAAAAGTACATATTCCTATTTTGCACCTTTGTTGGTTATTTACATGCTGAACCATGTTTCTTATACTAGTGGGCAGCACTAGTGCAACCCTAACCCTTTCTGAGTGGAGTTTGAATGTTCTCCCCGTGTCTGCGTAGACACCCTCCGGGTGCAGTTTCCCACTAAAAACATGTACAATAGGTCTGGCATGCGCCTCCTGTACTGGCCCCGCTCCCATCTCTCTGTGTGGAGTGAGAGAGCTTTGTGACTCTGGTCTGTGAAAGTCGGTATATAAATAAAGATTACTTACTTACTAGTGTATACAGTATATTATGATGTGTTTCATCATTTGCTAACGATACAGATGTTAGTGTTATGTTGTTAAAGCTCAGAGTGCTTCCCCACAGTGGGATGATAAAAGGACCTGTTAATCTCAATCTGTTGGATTATGTGGCGGCATGTGCACAGCAGGTCGAGCGCTTGTCCTTTGAGCTGCTCTTTTCATAAACACAGAGGAGAGCGGTCAGAAGCACTGAGCCACAGGTGTGACCACAGGTGTGAAAGCAGCTCGTGTTGGTGAATGCTGCTGTGTGTCCTTGAACCCAGCGTCTGTGTACACTGCTGTACGACCGTGTTTGTGAATCAGAGAGGGAATCCTTGATGTTAAATAGCTTTGAAAAGTATAACTATTTATTATTTATTGACCTGAAAAAGAATCATGGTCAAATAATATTGGCAACCTGCTCAGAAAGAACTGTATCTGAATTACATTATTTAAAACCTGCACAACAGGTGAGAAGATTTAATTATCTCCAAAACATAATTGTATGCACATGGTCTGGATCTATAGCTCGTCTGTGGGATGTTTCTCACTTTTTCCACTGTTCCTCCTGCGATGCAGGAGGGTCTAAGACAGGGGTCTCAAACCGGTTCCAGAAAGGGCCATGTGGCTGCAGGTTTTACTTCCAACAGTTCCAAACTGAGCAGGAGCACAGATGATCCACCCATTTCCTCAAATCTTCAGGTTAAAACTGGACTCACCTGTGTGGATTCATGTGGGATCCAAGTAATGACAGACTATATGACCACAGTCTGTATGACCACAGTCTATATGACCACAGTCTGTATGACCACAGTCTGTATGACCACAGTCTGTATGACCATAGTCTATCTGACCACAGTCTGTATGACCACAGTCTGTATGACCACAGTCTGTATGACCATAGTCTATCTGACCACAGTCTGTATGACCATAGTCTATATGACCACAGTCTGTATGACCACAGTCTGTATGACCATAGTCTGTATGACCACAGTCTGTATGACCATAGTCTATCTGACCACAGTCTGTATGACCATAGTCTGTATGACTATAGTCTATCTGACCACAGTCTGTATGACCATAGTCTATATGACCATAGTCTGTATGACCACAGTCTGTATGACCATAGTCTATCTGACCACAGTCTGTATGACCAGTCTCTCTGACCACAGTCTACATGACCACAGTCTATCTGACCACAGTCTATCTGACCACAGTCTGTATGAACACAGTTTATATGACCAGTCTCTCTGACCACAGTCTACATGACCACAGTCTATCTGACCACAGTCTATCTGACCACAGTCTGTCTGACCACAGTCTATCTGACCACAGTCTGTCTGACCACAGTCTGTATGACCACAGTCTGTCTGACCACAGTCTGTCTGACCACAGTCTATCTGACCACAGTCTGTCTGACCACAGTCTGTATGACCACAGTCTGTATGACCACAGTCTTTATGACCACGCCCTGAAACTGCGGCTCTTACCTGGGGTTCATCAGGTCGGTCATACTCTGTAGCGATAGGTCAGGGATGCAGTTGTCCTCGTCACAGCCGTTCCAGAAGGGCAGCTGGAGGAAAAAACAGCCCCTCATCGTTCAGGAGATTCTGCTACACAAATGGACTCTCTAAAATGAATGTCTAAAGTCTAAATGAATAAGAATAATATACATGCAGGCTTTGACCACTCCTGTCTCAGTACACAAGGGTGTCATTGCCTTTGCTTTGATCCAGGCGGATGTGTGCGTGTGTGTGTGTGCGTGTGTGTGTGTGTCTTACCTGTGTGTGTGTGTGTGTGCGTCTTACCTTTCTGTGTGTGTGTGTCTTACCTCTGTGTGTGTGCGCGCGTCTTACCTGTGCTTTTGTGTGGACTTCTTACCTCTGTGTGTGTGTGTGCGCGCATGTCTGACCTCCGTGTGCGCATGTCTTTCCTCTGTGTGAGTGTGTCTTACATCTGTGTGTGTGTACGTCTTACTTGTGTGTGGGTGTGTGTGTGTGTGTGTGTGTGTGTGTGTGAGTGTGTGCCTGTCTGTCCTACCTCTGTGTGTGTGTCTGTGCGTGTCTTACCTCTATGTGTGCGCATGTGTCTTACCTGTGTGTGTGTGTGTGTGTGCGCGCGTCTTATCTGTGTGTGTGTGTGTGTGTGTGTGCGCCTCTTATCTGTGTGTGTGTGTCTGTGTGCGTCTTACCTCTGTGTGTGTGAGGGTGGGCCAGCCCTCGTCCAGCACTGGGCTCTCCTCAGGTCTCTGCAGTCCCACTTGAACAGCGAACACAATGGGCCGAGCGTAGTCCGTGGTCTCCTAAAGACACACAGGTTTTTAAAGCCGGGTTCCCTAATTTTCCCATATACAGTACCTTTAATATACAGGCGTGCCCAGAAAGTACCGTGTATCTGGCTGACTGCACGCTAAACTACACAATGCGTCAATCTTACTGCAAGCGTCAATAATGGAAATGTATGAACCAAAAGTTTTTGTCCCTAAAAAATCTTTAATACTATGTAGTTTATACATATACACAAGATAATCTCAGATGGGCTCAAAACCAAATAAAGAAGAATTATACCTCTCATTATGCCTATGACCAGAGAGAGGGACCAGACCAGAGACAGGGACCAGACCCACCATGACGTGGAAGTAGTGGTGCTGGCAGAACTCCTCTCCGGGCAGCAGGCTCAGGTTCTGCCGTTGGGCCTGTGCTGGATGGTCCAGGGCAGCTCTGGGATTGAAGCGCCTCTCCACGATGGACACGTTGTACTTCATGTCTGTGGACGAGAGAACACACGGCAGGTTTATTTGTATGGCCCAGTTCAAGCACAAGGCAACTCATGACGAAAACAAAATATATTCAAATCATTAATAATCACAGTACATTGAAAAGAGTGAAGATACAGAGGCTGATACGGCTTGAACCTCTGCACTTTGTTTTCCCGTTTGCAGACTTTTTGTTTTTATTTTTACAGACACACAAGTAACAGAACTGTGAAGTGAAAGCAAAATTATACATGCTTCTAGTAATTATAAAAAGTAAAAAATAGAAAACCGAAAAGTTGGGTTAATACACAGTGGAACCCCCTTTTGTTGTAATAACTGTAGAAAGTATTCTGGGGTATCTCTCTACATGCTTTCCACATCTAGAGGCAGAATGTTTAGCCCATTCCTGTTTAAAAAACAACTTAGACTGTTTGTGAATAACAGTTTTCAGGTCTTTCCATAGATTTTTAAGTGGAAATAGAATGGCTCAGTCAAGTCAAGACCTAACTCATAAAAAAATATTTGTTCTGAACCTTTTAATTGTAGATTTAGCTTTGTCTTCAGGCTCATTGTCCTGCTGGAGGGAAACCATCTGCCCCGGCCTCAACTATCTTTCTGTCTCCACTGGGTTTTCCTCCAGAATGTTCCTGTATTTTCAATTTACCATCACAACAACTGGTGATGAGCAGTGTTAGTTTTGACACAATATAACATTTAGCATATTTTTTGACGTGTGAACAGTCAGCAGTCATTAGGGCTGTTTTAAAGGCAATTCAATGAAATAAGAATAATGCTGTATGAATTCTTGTGCATACTCAACTTCTTCTTTACTTCTATTTTTACAATAATAGCAAAATCATGTGTCATTTTCCCTTCACTTTACTGTTGTCTTAGCCTGGTCGTACAATACCACCGTACGCATTTAATTTTGTTTTAAGGCTTTGCTCCATTGAGCTCAATTAACAGGTGGGAGGGGCAACTCCTTTTGCAGATTGAAACGATTGGATCTGAGTTTGTAATGCGCCCGAGTGAGTGAGGCATTTAGCATTTAGCCTAGCTTTAGCTAGGCTAAAGTTAGCTTAGCTTTAGCCATCTCTACCACTAACGGATCCCGTGGGGAGTAGAGCCACAACATCTTTGCAGCAATGACATTTACTAAACATTCCTGTTGCTCCAGCTCCAATTTCTTGATATTTGGAGCCAAACTAGAACGGATTACTTTACTATCGCATTCGCCGCCATTGCATCTACAACCAGCAAATTTGGCGCAAACTCTTGACGTCACCAACACCTCCCAACAACACCCGCCTCCCCCACTTGCTGATTGGTCAGAGGGGATTCAACCGAGGTAAAAGCAGCCACAAGGATCAGACCCAGACGTACATGTTGGAAATTATAATGGACTGAAGTTCACGGATGGCTGAGGCCAGGCTACAATTTTCTGTTAGTTGTGGGTGAATTTTCAGTTTAATTTTTTTTAAATATTTGCTGTTGTAAGTACGACAAAATGTGCAAAGGTTCAAGGTGTATTCGTACTTTCCAGAGACGCTGTTGGATGAGATGGCTCCACATGTATCAAAACTTCATGTGAATATACGACTGATGACATAACCTCAGCCCATTCACTAAAATACCTCTGACACTGAGTAAGCAGTAAGCGGCTTGCGATAAAGCCAAGCGGCCAATGGGCTTGCAGGATCTTCCCCCCGCCGAGTCTTTGGGTTCAGTTTGGCCAGCGTCCGCGCTCTCTGGTTGATGACATCAGCTCTGCTCTGACATCTCTGACTGCAGTGAAAAGCAGGATTCCAGCGGCTGCGGTGGCTCTAATGACTCATTTCCCGGCCACATTGTTTGGGTTTGCAGCCCGTGCCCAGGATCCTGACCGTAAACATGGCCGCAGCACACACGCGTTTGGACAGAGCCGTAATCAGCACGACTCCAGGGCCCGGCTAACATTTCACCCCCACACAAAGAGCCAGTGTGAGCGTCATGTTCGAGATGATGGGGTTTTAAAGACGTTACATGCTTCTGTCGGCTTAATCTGTGTATATTTAGAACGTTAAATCTCAATATTTATGTAATTTAAGAGTTGTGACTTGCACTTCAGTTTTGAGGCCTGCCGCATCGTTTTGCAGATGAATTGTATGGAGTCAAATAATGTATATTTTTTACCGTATATCTGCAAGTAATTATCTCTTGTGTATTATTTAATAGTAATGCGGCTAAAGTGGAAATTCAGACGGGGATACTGGTTCTCACCTTTCATACTGAGTCATTGAGCCATCAGACACACACCTGTGACCATCGGCATCACGTCACGGCTGCATTTAAAAAGTGCCTATAAGTCTCTTCGTCAAGCATCCACCACCACCAGGTCGATTCTGATCCCCAGAGGGATCCACCACCAGGTCTAGACCTCTGGGGATATTTACGAGAGGCCTAAAGCAAGACTAAATCAAGACTGCAGGTGGCTCTATGCTCCTGGTGCAGATGGCTCCTTGAATGACGCTTCATGGTTTTACCCATTTTACCCATCTGATGCGACTGTATGTGTGTGTGTGTACTTAGTAATATACAGTGCCTTGCGAAGGTATGAACCTTTCAACATTTCGCCACATTTCAGGCTTCAAACATAAAGATATAAAATTTAAATTTTTTGTCATGAATCAACAACAAGTGGGACACAATCATGAAGTGGAACGAAATGTATTGGATAATTTAAACTTTTTTAACAAATAAAAAACTGAAAAGTGGGGCGTGCAATATTATTCGGCCCCTTTACTTTCAGTGCAGCAAACTCACTCCAGAAGTTCAGTGAGGATCTTTGAATGATCCAATGTTGTCCTAATTGACTGATGATGATAAATAGAATCCACCTGTGTGTAATCAAGTCTCCGTATAAATGCACCTGCTCTTTGATAGTCACAGGGTTCTGTTTAAAGCGCAGAGAGAACCATGAAGACAAAGGAACACACCAGGCAGGTCCGAGATACTGTTGTAGAGAAGTTTAAAGCCGGATATGGATACAAAAAGATTTCCCAAGCTTTAAACATCTCAAGGAGCACTGTGCAAGCAATTATATTGAAATGGAAGGAGCATCAGACCACTGCAAATCTACCAAGACCCGGCCGTCCCTCCAAACTTTCATCTCAAACAAGGAGAAGACTGATCAGAGATGCAGCCAAGAGGCCCATGATCACTCTGGATGAACTGCAGATAACTATAGCTGAGGTGGGAGAGTCTGTCCATAGGAAAACAATCAGTCGTGCACTGCACAAATCTGGCCTTTATGGAAGAGTGGCAAGAAGAAAGCCATTTCTCAAAGATATCCATAAAAAGTATCGTTTAAAGTTTGCCACAAGCCACCTGGGAGACACACCAAACATGTGGAAGAAGGTGCTCTGGTCAGATGAAACCAAAATCGAACTTTTTGGCCACAATGCAAAACGATATGTTTGGCGTAAAAGCAACACAGCTCATCACCCTGAACACACCATCCCCACTGTCAAACATGGTGGTGGCAGCATCATGGTTTGGGCCTGCTTTTCTTCAGCAGGAACAAGGAAGATGGCTAAAATTGATGAGAAGATGGATGGAGCTAAATACAGGACCATTCTGGAAGAAAACTTGTTGGAGTCTGCAAAAGACCTGAGACTGGGACGGAGATTTATCTTCCAACAGGACAATGATGCAAAACATAAAGCCAAATCTACAATGGAATGGTTCACAAATAGACGTATCCAGGTGTTAGAATGGCCAAGTCAAAGTCCAGACCTGAATCCAATCGAGAATCTGTGGAAAGAGCTGAAGACTGCTGTTCACAAAAGCTCTCCATCCAACCTGACTGAGCTCGAGCTGTTTTGCAAGGAAGAATGGGCAAGAATTCGAGTCTCTCAATGTGCAAAACTGATAGAGACATACCCCAAGCGACTTGCAGCTGTAACTGCAGCAAAAGGTGGTGCTACAAAGTATTAGCGCAAGGGGGCCGAATAATATTGCACGCCCCACTTTTCAGTATTTTATTTGTTAAAAAAGTTTAAATTATCCAATTAATTTCGTTCCACTTCACGATTGTGTCCCACTTGTTGTTGATTCTTGACAAAAAATGTAATTTTTATAGCTTAATGTTTGAAGCCTGAAATGTGGCGAAATGTTGAAAGGTTCAAGGGGGGCCGAATACTTTTGCAAGGTACTCTATGTTGGGTGGTCGGGTGAATGGGTCATGGGCATCTGGGATTGTTTTTAACCAAAATGTAAAGCACTCGGTTTGTGTTGAATTTTCTGTATGAAAAGCGCTTCATAAATGAATCTTAAATGAAATGATTGATTGAAGCAGGGCTAAACCAGTTCTAAATCAGGACTGAAAGGCTGAGGGAGAGCCATAATCTTTTTAAATCCCTGGAAGCCTTCCCAAGGAAAACGCGAACTAAAATGTAATCTGTGAATGAACACCAGAAGGGAGAAGGTTTGAGGAGTATTGTCTAAGCTTTAGTTCTGTTTGTAGATTTCTAGATTGTTCACACAGTTTGATAAACGAGGCCTTGATCCAGTGTATAAGTGTGCGGCGTCAGGACACTGAGACAGATGGTTGATTTATGATTCTGTCTGTGATAATCTACAAGACCCCAGCTGTGATCTGCTCCTGTGTCGGCACTTTGTTGTGAGATTGTCTATGGGGACGTGTACATTTACTGAGCAGTTTTGAGCCCAGAAACCAGACTTTCTATTTCAACCATTTATCTTGTATTTATGTTTTAAGGTGGTGGTTAAATGGAGGAGGAACAATTGCTATGCTACAGTTGATTGAGCTTAGAGTCAGTTTTGTGCTATGAAATGGCAATAAAGTCAAACCGAAGTCCCAGATGTTTACCCTGACAAAGAAGAGCAGGTCAAATAATGGGCATTCCACCTTCTTCAGAGCAACAGATCTGTCCCCTCCTCATGACCCCTCCCACACTCATCAGGTAGAAGTGGTGTTTGGCAAGATAAGACAAAAAACGTAATTATTATGTCCCTTATGTATAATATATGTTCTGGCCTTGTTCCAGTTGCCCATTTCTCCAGCACCTGACACAGACTTTGTTTTGCCGGGCGTCGTCTGATCCGGCATCTCAGTGTTGACAGGAGACAATAAAGAAGTAACTATATGATCTCGTTTAAGTATTGTCAGCATTTGAACTCTGTGGGCAGACAGAAGGGCAGTTATTATTGTGGCTTATTTACACGTTCAATGAAATGGCAAAAATGACAAAAGCACGATTTAAAGGTACTACTTTAAGGCACTACTTTCGCATGGATCATCGAGACTATTGGTTCTCCTTATTGTCAATCATTCTGGTGATACGTGCTCGCCAGACAAGACCAGAGAATTTGGTTCAAAAAGTAAAATTTGGGAAAATCCTCCTGGATACCTTTAAGCGTAGTGAGTAATTATGATGGTTATTACATGTTTTATAGGGCAGAAGGTATTGGAAATGTGTGTCAGGATAAGACCATCTCACTTTGATGAGACCGTTTCCCTTATCATTTGGATGACGTAAACTTGGATAGGGAAAATTCTCTCTTCCTCCGTCCTCTTCCCCTGTTCTTTCGCCCCCCCTTTAACCCCCATTGTTTCGCTCCCCTTCCTACCTTCATTCAGTGACCTGATTAGGTGTGGTCAGTTGTAAAAGTGTGTCAAAGGTGTTTCTTCCTGTGGTAAATGCCCAATGAGGGACCTGCTCATTGTGCTCCAGAAAACTGATGCAGCACCCGAGGTTTTCGCCATAGCTATGTTTGTTCTTATCATGTACTTTTTACTTAATTAAACCACACAAATTACAACTCTGTTTCCATGGATCATTGAGAACATTTCCGCAACTCCAGTGAAACAGACCCAAAACAATCACACACTGGTCTGAAACTAATTGAGGGACCGAGCACTCGCCATCTCTGCTCCCACTCTCTGGAACTCTCTCCCCCTTCACCTCAGAAACTCGGACTCACTAAACTCTTTCAAATAAACAGTTAAAGACTCACCTCTTCCTCCAAGCATATAACTCATAGCTTCAGCTTTGCACTCTCCATTCCTGCTTTTAAAGTTTTAGTTTTGTGCGTCCGTCTGAATGTGCAAGTGTGTGTGTGGTCTGAATTGTAAAGCATCTTTAAAACCAATGTATTATTATTATTATTAAAGATGGGGAGGCTGCATTTTACATTCATGCTGCTAAAATCTGGAAAAATCTTGTCTTAACTTCTTCCCACTCCTGTTTGAGCTGACCTTTTGTTAATAAAACAAAACATACTGTATATGTATAGTGTTGTTTTTTTCTATTTTTTATTTCTTCTATTCTCTTTGTTGTTTTGTTGTTGTTCTTTGTTTCTAGTCTGCCATGGCTCATAATAAAGTAAAGTATTCAACATCTTCCTGAAAATGTGAGACAGACCTCTTCTTTGACAAAGTTTAAACCCAGGTTCTGTTAAGCTGCAAATAACTTTATATTGTTTTTTTATAGAGATTTTTATATTGTTTTATCTTTCTTTTTAATGTATTGTGATTATTTATTTCTAATGCTATCTTGCTTTGTTCAGCACTTTGCGTTGTCTTGTGTATGAACTGTGCTATACACATAAACTTCCCATGCCTTGCTATTGACGCATCATATTGTGCTTTAATTCATTTTCTCTGCAAATCCACAAATGCACCGCAGTAGTGTTGCTCCACCAGCTCCAAAAAACACATTAAGCACAAATAGAACAAACAGGACTCCAACATGAGACGGTTCCTTTTCTCCACCACAAACCTCAGCTATCTCCCAAAGCTCGCACATCTGCCCCGGATTACAGCTCAGACACGTCAGGAAAAGAAAGACGACAAAATAAAAACGGTGAGGTCTGAGTGAGGAGAGGTCTGAGGGTCAGGAGCAGAGGCTGTGGCGGGGGGCAACATGACGGCTGACATCACGGTTATCGAGGAAGAAGCCGCGAAAGCAAACAAGCGCCAGGGTCTTGCTCCGGGATTCGATAAATAAATCCAAATTTGGGGGCAGAAGTCGTTTTTTTTACGGCTCATAACAGGATTTCAGGATTCTAGCTTTAAACTACAGATTTTTAAGTGCAAAATGGTGAGTGTGAATTAATTTTTCAATGTATGTGAATAAGATAAGATAAGAGTTCCTTTATTCGTCCCACAGTGGGGAAATTTTGATGTTGCAGCGCACATACAGGACAGTAGCAAGAGCACACAGGGAGCACAAACAATATACAAAATAAGTAGTAGCTATGTTTCTTAACTAGCATAACTAGCTGTAGATGCTGAAAATGCTTCAATAGCATTAAAAAAATATATATATATGTAGTGGTGTAGCGTTAGTGTATATACTGTACATATAGAGCAGGATAATAGGTAGATAAAGTAAAGTGACATTGGAGTGGAGCCTTGTCTATATCTTTGGGCAATTTCGGAACGGGGCCTTTCTGAGTGGAGTTTGCATGTTCTCCCCGTGTCGGCGTAGGTTTCCTCCGGGTGTTCCGGTTTCCCCCACCACATAAAAACATGCACAATAGGTCTGGCATGTGCCTCCTGTATGGCGACCCCGTTCCAATCTCTAAAATAAAGATTACATCAGAGTGTCCACCTCAAATGTTTCTTCTAAACAACTAATCGAAGGAATAATTAATAGATTCATCATTTTTCAGTCTTAGTTCAAGTAGCTCGACATTGTCCACACAAAAATGATCTTGAGTTGAGTGGGTTTTTTTTTTGTTCAATGTACATCAAGCATTATTATTAAAAGTCAATGCATTGGATTTTCTAACATATCATTGACCAACCATTACTTATTATAATATTGTACTCAAACTCAAACTCGAAAAGGAGTGGGAGGAAGAGAAAAAGTATAAACTCCCAACCCTGTGATTATCATAAATACATATGTGTTTGGAGACAGTGGGAAAGCAACAAGCAGCACAATGTCCTCAGCCAATCACCACACAGCAGGTACCAGGAAAACCAGCAACAAACCCAGCAACAAACCATAGCCGCACCAGAACTGCGCATACCTTACCCAGAGCCTTTATGAACAAGTGGCAAGAAGGAAGCCATTGTTGAAAGAAATATTATCTGCAGTTTCTTTTTACACCGCTCGTAACTCGTAGTGCACTGTGGGTATACGGTGGGGGGAGCATCATGCTGTGGGACTGGCAGACGAGATTGTAATGTAATGGAAAGATGAAGAAAAATACAGGACAATTTTGAGAACTTTCTGGAGTCAGTAAAAGACTTGAGGCTGAGATTTACCTTCCAGCAGCAAAATGAGCCGAAACGTAAAACCAGATCTACAATGGAATGTTTTTATTTAAGCCATATTTAAGTGTTAAAATGACCCAACTGCTGTTCACAAACGACCTCCATTTAAGGTTAAGTTAAGTTTGTATTAAAATCAAAATAGAAACGAAATATTATCAGTGTGCTTTCTCCTCACAGAAAAATGTAAAAAGATGTACAGTATGTGCTCGTAAACAGGACAAAAGTGTGTGAAAGTTGGAGTTTGCATTGGTTCTTTTTCCTGTGTAAATTGCCTGTGCGTGTGTGTGTGTGTGGTAATAATAATGCATTATACAGCACTTTTTGGACACTTAAGAACTTCAAAATGCTTCACGTGTCATTATTATTATTATTATAGTTATTTAAAAACAATTTCTTTACATGGAATTATGAACATATAGACATACAATACAGGTGCCGACGTACAAACACATACAGATACAATAAGACAGACAAGATACAGTTTTGTGTGTGAGTGTGGGTGTGTGTGTGCATGTGCAGTGGTGTGGGTGTGTGTGTGCAGTGGTGAGTGTGTGTGTGTGCAGTGGTGTGGGTGTGTGTGTGCATGTGCAGTGGTGTGGGTGTGTGTGTGCAGTGGTGAGTGTGTGTGTGTGCAGTGGTGTGGGTGTGTGTGTGCAGTGGTGTGGGTGTGTGTGTGCAGTGGTGTGGGTGTGTGTGTGCAGTGGTGTGGGTGTGTATGTGCAGTGGTGTGGGTGTGTATGGGTGCGAGCGTTATTTTAGCAATTTGATGAATCCACCCATCACCCTCATTGCTCCTATTGTCTCCCCCTTTCTTTGAGTGTACCAATTTGCATGTGTGCCTAAAGGACACTGCTGGAGGCTGTTTTCTTGGGGCAGGGTGCATCTCCCAAGTGTCCAGTATCCCTAGTCGTTTTTTCCCCACATGTCATTATTCACAGACTTCATACCGACCACCACCAACCATTCACACACACACCAGACTCATTCGAGGCAATGTGGGTGCAGTGACTTGCCTAAGGACACAACCACACTTCGGCACTTTACAGCCGCCCCGCTGTGTCACCTGGTGCTCCCAAAGGTCTCCCATCCCAGTACTAACCAGACCCTGTCCTGCTTAGTTTCACAGGTCTGACAGGATCTGGCTGTCACATGTTGAGCAGAGACAAATGTATTTTTACAGCACCATGCATACACAAGCAACCCAGGGTGAAAGACATTATAGGAATAAAAAATGATGGAATAAACACAAAAAAAGAGGTTGTGATGTCGCATGTATCAGAGCAAACGACAGTGTGGCCACTCACCCACACGCCGGCCCGCGGGGACCGGGGTGCGCGCGATCACGTTGAAGCAGGCGATGGCGGACATGCAGGTGACCTCTTTGCCCGCGCGCTGACAGTCCTTCACAAACACGTTGACCTTTGCGGGCTCGAATCGCACCGAGGCCGAGATCCGCACCACACTCTGGGACCTGGAGGGCAGAGGGGAGCAGTGACATCACACACGCCTCTGGAGGACATGGTTCTGGAGGTACGCTGTAGGGAAAGCTCAGTCTAATGCTGGAACATAGCAATTGTATTCAGGAGTCAGGGTTCAATTCAGATTATTATTCAAGACGCTGGGACAGATTTGTTTGCTTCTGTAAACTATACAGTATTTCACTGGATTTCACTGAAACTATTCATTTGAAAAAGGCTAAACTGTCTATTACCACTGCCACGATTGTGAAAGGACTAGAACTCCCATTAAAGTTAAGGGAGTTCTGAAAAAGAAAATGCCGTAGTTTTCCACTCATTTTTAAGTAATTCATATGTTGTTGTTTTTTGTACCTTTGCTTAGTTTCAATGCTGACATGAATGAATCTGGGAGTTAAAGGTAGAATTACTCACATTTCAAAAAAGTGTTATGGAGACCAAAAAGTTATTACGCTTCCAAAAATGAAAACCGTAAATTTGCTTTGGGAATTCTCGTGTTAAAGGACAGAACCTGCTGAATGTAAATAATGCTATTGGCCTGCCCTATCCCTATGCTACCACCAGAGGGAGGGGTACAACTGGTTTTGTTTTTCTCCAAATTAGAAAGTTACCAGCTGCCAAAACAGTAACATGCTTTTAAAGAAGGTTGTTAAACTTTTATGGACAATACTTTTGTTTTAGAAAATCTGAAAACTGCTATTAGCCTGGATGGATCTAAAAATCCGGGGCGACAGCAGCTCAGTTGGTAGAGCATTGGCCTTTGAGCCTGAAGGTCGTGGGTTCGAGCCCACCGACTCCCACTGATGACTGCTGTCGTTGTGTCCTTAGGCAAGACACTTAAGCCCACTTTGCCTGAAGCTCCCACTGAGAGATCTCAGCTCCTGTGGACTCACCAACTGCAGAAGGATCAGTGAGGGGCTGGTGCTCTGTGAACTGGGTGGCATCTCTGGCCACCCCCCTGACCCAGAAATGGATTAAGGGGAAGAAAATGGATGGATGGATGGATCTAAAAATCTGTGCCTGATCAATTCAATTCAAATAACTTTATTCATCCATGAGGAACTTCATTAACAGACGGAGCACCAGTGGGGGTACACAAAAACACAGAAACACACGATCTGAGTATAAATACAGTAAAAGAGCAGAAATGCTCCAAATCAGCTGTTTAAAAGGCGAATTGAGGTTGGGAGGAAGCTGGATGTGGCCCTTTTTGTTTTGAATGGGAGGGACCTGAACCTATACCCTGATGGGAGCAGACTGTAGTGTGAGTGCAGAGTGTGGGAGCTGTCTGTGGAGATCTGGGAGCCTTTCCTTAAAACGATGTTATTACAGGCTCCTCACAGCACCTTCAGGGCGGAAGCAGACCCCTGCGCGTCGGGGTCTGCTTCGCCCTGTCGGTACTTATTTTCCGATAATGACCTGCGTAATATACATTATCCCTTAATTATTGATGAGAAACAATACAACATAAACAAAATACAATTTAGCATTTAGTGTGATAAAAGTGTGATTGTAGCATAAGTTATTGGGTGTTTTGGAGAGGTACAGACCAGAGCAGGACAGCGGCTCCCAGTGCGCCCACAGCCAGGTCCACCAGGCCGTCCCCGTTCATGTCCATGGCTCCGTGAATACTGCGACCGAAGTACTGCAGCCCCGAGGCCAGGTCTGCCCCCGCGATCCTCTGGACACACAGGGGGGAGTCGGCAAAAACAGACATGCGGGTCACAATGAGGCTTTATGGAGCAACTGTTTTATCTCGAAACAAAGATGTCGATTCGCAAACACAGATCAGAGAATCTAAATGGTCAAACATAGGAAATGCAAAGTTAAAAAACCATCATCGGTCCATTAGGGGCAGATGACCAATGTCCAAAAAAGATCCAGGACTCAGGCTGTAGAACGAGGACTGAAGTCATTCTCATCAAAGTGTATTATATAGAAAATCAAACACCTCTTTCCAATTTTCTTTTCACTCAAATACAAAAAAAAAAATGTTTTAAAACAAAATAAATGGAGGTATAGTTTATGTTTTGTAAATACTTGGCAGGGTAATTGTGGGCAATACATTGAAAGAACATTTATTTCATACAGATTTAAGGTAACAAAACCCAGGTAAAATGCATGGGTTCACCTGCTTGTATTTGCGCAGGATGCGGTTGTGCTGGCTGAAGAACACGTACACTGCCCCCCTGTGGTCGTCCTCCAGCGGTGCGCCCACCACCAGGTCGTTGAAGCCGTCCCCGTTCAGGTCGGGCACCGGTGCCAGGGACGAGCCGAAGCGTGCGTTCTGGCCGCCATTGTGGATCTCCAGAGAGCCCTCCAGCACAAACCGGTTCTGAAGAGCAGCCACATTATACATATTACACATATATATATAAAGTAACTGTTATATTAGCAATTTCAGGAACAACTGTCACTGGCAGTAGCTTAGGGAAGATTTTTTCTAATCCCATCTTTTCCATAACTATTTCTAGTTTGTTTATTAGGCACAAAAGCCAGATACAACCATTTCTACTCAGGTTACGCAGGCATGTAAACACGTAAACTGGAGACTACTGAGAAAGATCAGCAGATGCAAGAGCGTGGGGAAAATCTTATATACGAAATAGTGTAGAGAAGTCCTTATATTTCATCATAGGTCCACGTCAACTAACTAACGGTGCAGAAGTTATTTTTTTTGACCAATAACAAAAGTTCAACTCAGTACTTTGTAATGTAGCTTTTGTTGGAATTGAATTGAAATTGGTCCCAGTCTTCAACAGGCACACTCAAAGACTGTGCCTGTTGCAAGCTCGGAAGCTGGAATTTTGGTCAATTCTTCCATGCAGATCTTCTCTATTGCTGAAATGTTTTAGGGCTGTCGCTCTTCGAATCCAGAAGGTCCTGGGTTCAAATCCTGGTCAGAACAGGGCCTTTCTGAGTAGAGTTAGCATGTTCTCCCCGTGTCTGCATAGGTTTCCTCTGGGTACTCCGGTTTCCCCTACCACTAACACTACTAAAAATATGCACAATAGGTAAAATCCTCCAACTTCCTGACCAAGCAGATTATCAAAAAAAATTATTTTAACATTTTTTTTACATTTAGGGAAGCATTCCCTGAGCAGTGTGTTTGGATGATTGTGATGAAGACCCAGCCACATTTCATTCTCAATGGAAAATTTCACAAATCTCATGATACAATAACAACAACAACTTATTCTTGTATAGCCCTAAATCACAACAGAAGTCATCTCAGAGGATTAACAAAACCATTGAAATCACCAACACAGATCAGAGAATCAACAGTTAAGACGAAAAATATACACATATGAATTGGTCCATAGGGAGAGACCAATGTCCATGAATGTTGTTAAATGTCCATACATGTTGTAGAATGTTAAAGTGTCCTGGATCATCACCACAGTCCTGATACATGGCCCCATTTATAATTTTCTTACTGAGCACCAATATTATTCTCCACTTTGCAGAAAAGCAGCCCCAAGCTATGTTTCCACCCACATACTTCATGCAATACCCACATTTTGTGCTCTTCATCATTGTGATTAAGTACACGGTCCCTTTGCACGTGTTTCTTTTTGTTTTGTTTTGGTTTCGTAATGAGGTAAAACCAGGAACTATGGTGCGTTTAATTGTGCCGCGGAGTTTAAATTGCAGTTTTAAAATTCAAAATCAAGTAAACAAGACATTTCTTTTACAGTACAGTGTGTGATAGCAATCTCTATGTGTGATAGCCTTCGACACCATCACAAGGAAGGCTCCATATGAACAATGGGATGGGGTCTAGCATATACAGTAGACAGGAACCAGAGGAGACTGGTTTGAGGGCAACGGTGAATAGAGTCCAATTTTGTATTCTTATGCTTGGGATGGATGTAAACTTCAACAAACTTTCACTGATTGAGAATAAGTTTTGCCAGCTTTAAAAAAAATTACTCATCTTTAACTTCCTGCTAAACCCAAACCTCCCAATCAGATGTGCGTTGTTGCAAAATGTAAACTCATCAATGTATCACAGGAAGAGGCAGATCTTCCAACCGCTCAAACTCAAACAATGGCCTTGCATCCCTCTTCTGCACATAATCCACTAACTCTGCTTTTATAAACTCAAATAAACTTCCATAGATCCAGAGAAATGTCAGGAATCTTCCATTTTAAAGGCAAACTAAACCCTGGCTTTAATCCCACTCTATTCTTAGCAGGTCGTAAGTCTGCCAGAGGTACGGCCAGACGCACACAAGCGGAAAAATCTCCTGGTTTTGAACAGCGTAGAGGTAGTCATGCATATCATTGCTCCAGTTGGCGTGGCGAGTTCCTGTGATATTGTTTCACCTCTGCCGATGTAACGTGAGCTCGCTTGTTTTTGCAGTTGGATAAATGAGCAGCAGTAGATTTAGGAGCGGGACGGTGTGATGAGAGCTCGTGTCACTGGCGATTGGCTGCTGTTTAATGGGAAACACATGGGCGAGCGCTCAGGTCACTATCCACACAACGGTGATCTACGGACAAGTTTGTGCACCGCGGGGGTCTGAGGGGTCTGAGGCCGTCTGAAGGCCCTGCTGCTCACTGTTTATGCAGGACGAACCAGGAAGCAACTGGGTTTGGACCAGGTTTGAACCAGGATTGAACCAGGCTATAAGAATTATACAAGATTAACCAGGATGAACCTAACCTAACCGACCGCGGACTGAATTGGAAGTAAATCAAGTCCAATTAGAGACTTCAAACTGGAGCATCTAACTTTTTGTTTTTGTTTGTCCCAACAGTATTTTTTAAGTAATCTTTAGTGAACAAATCAGACCACATCTACAGCCTTAATCTTGTTCTAAACATTCATATCTTTTATACTATATGTATATACTGAGAGCTGATTGGCTGAGTGAAGGCTGGCTCTCTCTTTTTCACTGACATTATGTGAAAGAGGCCAAACTTACATATGAAAACTAGTGCTAGAACCAAACTGTTTTGAGAACTATAGTGACATGGATTTTATTACAGTGTCTTTAGTGGTTTCAAAGTAAAATACCCCTGCTTTAAAGGAAAACTATTAGGTAATAAATAGTCTATTCATTAACATGCACTTATCTGGTGGGGTTCTCCACTCACTCCTGCCCAAGTAAATGTATGGTTTTATCTAGATCCACCATATGGCAGTATTAATGCTGATCAATTCCCAAAAACAAGAGAAATTATTTTCTTACAATGTTGGTTATTTGTGATAATGACTTTTAAATACATTAATCTGTGGTGGAATTTGAAAACGGATTCAATGTTGATTTGTTTCAATTATGGATCTATTCTATGTGGGTAGGGCAGCTTAAACCCCTCTCCAGTGCGCGCACAGAGGCCAACCGCGGTACTGCAGGCAACACTTTTATGCAAAATGTTACATGGACATAATTTGAACCCAAGGATTCTGTGGGGATTTTATTTCTTCTTTGTAATCATTAACTTTTTTATAAAACTTTTTTATGAATCCACACTTTCGAACAACAAACTTGTCTCGCGCTAGCAAGCAATTGGTATGAATTCCCACATAAATTTCTCCTGTGTGAGATTAATAAAGTACATCTTATCTTCTCTTATCTAGAGAACCAGAAACAAAAGTCTTCGGCTAATCATTGGGACAAATTTGAGTTTATACCAATCACAGGTTATTGATTTGAATGGACTGCCATCTTGAAGAGCCGGGGTTTTGTGTCGTTGCATTAATACAAAAGTAATTAAATGGTATATGGAGTATTTAGATGAATGGAAATAGAAAAATGTGTATTGCCCATATCTACCAGCTGAAATCTACACAATGAAAACAACATGGGAGACAGGCGTCATGTGGTTTCATTAATGGTATCCTCTGTGTCAAATCAGGCCAAAACCAGCCGTCCATCTGAGCCCTGTCATTACTCATGGGCCTGAGAGCGATAGGGGTCAACTCTACTTCATCTTTATGTCTGAAAAATCTAACCTAAAGCTGTAAAAAGCAATGCACATGAAGGGATGAGAGATATCAAAGAGTTGTGGGGGCTCGGGATTAAAACAGCCACTGCAATTACTAGTTCAAAAACCCGTATATAGGCCAGCTTGCAGCGAAGTCATCCTCATTAAGCTTTGCAGTCGTTTCACATCTGCGGCAGCACCTGAGTCAACCCCGTCACTGCTCACTCTCATTTGCCTTTTCCTTTCCCCTCTTAGCTCGTCTCCTGTCATGCGGTCTGGACTTTGACACAAATTTAAAACCCTTTCCACGTCTGCAGTCGGAGCAGAGGCAGCAACGGCGTTTGTTATTCCAATGCAGAGCTGTGGGAATGCTTCTCCTATTACCCAAACTTCTCACCTCGAAAAGGGCTTTCTGGAAGCGGCTGTGAAGCTCATTCTTTCCCTTTGAGCGCATGGTACGGTTCTCGTAAAAAAGGGGTACAGTGGGCTGTCGTTTTGATGTCTTGGGGGTGTGGGGTCAGATGCCATGAGTAGTTACCAGTGGGGTGTTTTAAAGGAGCAGAGGGGGAGCGGAGTTGAAACAGGTGTGCCTCTATTAGGGCCAGGGCAAAGTGATTAGAGCGAGTTACTGCCATGTCTCACTCTGTGGCTGGGTTTTCAAGGTTTGAAGAATACAGATTGGGAAGGTATATTTCTGTGTTTTATATCCAGACCACAAGCAGCTACATTTCAAGTTTATAGATCTGACATAGTTAAAGATGGAACACCTTTTTGTTCCAACAGAAAGAGTCTTGTTTATACATTTCCAACCTGACCTTCCATGTTGTGCATCTGTGCATTAATTACAACTAGGGCTGCGCGATATATCGAAAAAAATATTGTCATCAGAATATCTGTACGCACAATATCCATATCAAAACGATGTGTGATAATGCAGTCACACCAGCCTCCACACCTCTGTGCTTATGTGTTCGGAGACCCTGTAGATGTAGTCTGTGCTTACGTGTTCGGAGACTGTAGATGTAGTCTGTGCTTACGTGTTCAGAGACTGTAGATGTAGTCTGTGCTTACGTGTTCAGAGACTGTAGATGTAGTCTGTGCTTACGTGTTCAGAGACTGTAGATGTAGTCTGTGCTTACGTGTTCAGAGACTGTAGATGTAGTCTGTGCTTACGTGTTCGGAGACTGTAGATGTAGTCTGTGCTTACGTGTTCAGAGACTGTAGATGTAGTCTATGCTTACGTGTTTGGAGACTGTAGATGTAGTCTGTGCTTACGTGTTTGGAGACTCTGTAGTTGTAGTCTGTGATTACGTGTTCGGAGACCCTGTAGATGTAGTCTGTGCTTACGTGTTCGGAGACCCTGTAGATGTAGTCTGTGCTTACATGTTCGGAGACCCTGTAGATGTACACTTTGCCCTTTTCCATGCCTCCGCTGAAGAACATGGGAGCAGCCACCAGGAGGTTGTCCGTCACCCCGTCTCCGTCCAGGTCCATGGGAGCGATCTCACTGCCATAGTACGAGCCGATCTGCAGAGAACCAGGATACACTTGTGATACCGCACGTAAAGCACCATCACATCATACTTAGAGAATTGTGAACGGCATTTGACAGACAAGAAAAGAGAAGATTACATTTCTTTGTCCTTCAGTGAGAAAATGTCCTTCAGTGTTGCTGTTGCACACATTACAGGGTCAGCAGAAATCAAACAAGAGATGGATCTATTGGGCATGTCATAAGTCATACACTTACACTCACTCAGGTCTTCTCACATACTGTATCTAAGTAACACCACTTGTGCTAGGACCGTTGGCTCAGTCAGTTGGATCATACTGTCGAGTGCACAGGTAATTTCCTGCTGGGATTTTCTACATGTTGCACCTCTTCCAGTGCCCGCGAGTCAGCTGTAGTCTGTACAGGGTCATTGCCATGGAACCACCGTTCATGTTTCACACCACCCCCTGTAGGTGTTATCCCCTGCAGCTCTTATCCTTCCTCCGTAACCAGAGTCAGAATTGTCCTTTTTTATCGTTCTCTGAAAGTTCTATTGTAGTCTTTTGCTGTTTCCTTCCTGTTATGCCTGCATCCTTTAAGAGATGTGTCATTGAGTTCACCACAAAGCCTCGACATCCAACCTCCACAGGATAGATGGTGGTTTTCCAGCCAGTGTCATAAGTTGAATCTTGCTTGTGAGATTTTCCACAAGTCAGACCTCAATTCAAGTAATGTTGAATGTCAGAGTCTTAAGTCTTATTATTTATTTGAGCTTTGGTTTATTACATCACATCATCGGCATACGCAGCTAGCAGTTATTATACACAGCTTTTTACTGTGTATTATAGATGGATAGATAGAAACTTTATTGATCAGCAAAACACATCCATCCACACACACACAAAACAAATACATTGATCAATCTAAAAAGCTAAGAATAGTAATAATAAATTGCAGCAGAACTTCAGGCCACAGCAGCAAAGGTGGACCATCCGCTGGGTGGAGCAGATGGCCACATAACCTTGCCTGCAAGCTGAATTCTCGCGGTATTTGTGAGTTCCCAAACACTCGAGAATACATCTTGTCCCGCTCCCGCCAACCCTTTTCGAGTCGAACATCTAGGTGTTCAAGCCAATCACGCGCCAGTCTGGGGGTTTAGGGCGGAATATCCGGGTTTGACGAAAGCAAGAAGTGCCGGGCCGAAGCAAAACAAACATGGCTACGCAGGAGGACGGACGCGTAGCTGAGGCTATCAAGTCAGTTTTAGCAAAATCTCCAATTTCTTTTTTGAAAGATGAACAGCGAGATGCGCTTTGTGCATTTCTGGACGGCAAAGATGTTTGTGCATTTTTACCTACGGGTTTTGGTAGGCGGGCACACAGCGTCACTTCGCCCAATCAGCTTGAAGTATTCTGCTGCTTATCCCTCCTTTCCCCGAAAGGATTCTCCTGCAGAAGTCCCAGATTGATATTGTGGAGAACGTATTAGAGTTCTACACAATCATCAATCTGGCTCTTGCCAGGTTACAGGCCACAGCAGTTTGGTAGAATGGCCTGTTTACTGTAGAATTTACTGTTTCACTTTGATCAAAGTTTTGGGAGGCCATGCACAAGCTTCTGACAGTCAATCTGGTGGAATTTTCACTCAGTCACTCTTGACAGGAGTTGATCTGATGTAACTGAGTTTAAGCGGTTTCAGATTCTGAAGCATGACATAATGTTAGGCGTTTAAAGACACACACGACATGTTGTCATGTTATGAATAGAAGATAAAATAAATTATGATTTTCTACCAATATATTGGCATTTAACATGATCAAAAGACTGTTTTGATTCACCTCACCAAGCATCACGTAAAAAATTTGTGGGAGCAGAATCGCCTCTTAATGTGGACCTTTTGTGAGTTGTTCTTTGTTGAGACAGAAGTGTCTAAGAGATGTCAAAGTCGAATACATCAGAGGGCTTAAAAGACAAAAGTTGGCTACAAGCTGGACTGGTTCAATGTTTATTAAAACATATTAAAACCTTTTGAACCAAGACCTAACACAGTTTACTGTATCTTATGTGATGATTAAATGAATAATAATTCCAATCAAAGATCATCCCGGGGGCCTATATAATTCATTAGCGGGCCGGATCTGGCACCCGGACTTTGACTTTGACATCCATGGTCTAAGGACAGTGGTGATGATTAAGGATATTTATGGACATTGGTTACACGTCCCTTATGGACCAAGGGTTCTGTCTGTGTTTTTTGTTCTGTTTTTAAAGTCCTCTGAGATAACTACTGTTGTGATTTAGGGCTATACAAAAATAAAAATGTATTGAATTGAATTCAATAGTATTTTTTGCCAAGGTCAATGTAAACCAGGGGTGTCAAACTGGTTCCAGAAAATGCCAGTTTGACAAAATGCAGGTTTTCATTCCAACCAAGCAAGAGCACACCTCACTCACACCCAATACCTCAAGTCTTACGGTGATTACTGGACTCACTTGAGGAAATGGGTTCTGTCTGGTTGGTTGGAATGAAAACCTGCAGCCCTTTGAGGACCAGTTTGACACGGCTGAATGTAAACAGAGGTGTTTCTTGTGTTTGGAGGCTGTTACCTGCTGTCCTTTGAGTGAGAGCAGGATACTGAGCTCTCCGCTGTTCTTCAGAGTGAACACGATGACTTTCCCCGTGTGGTTAAAGCGGGGAGCGCCGGCCACCAGGAGGCGCCCGTGTCGAGCCGAGACCACAGAGCTCACCGTGTAGCCTGCAACCATCAACATCCACACCAGCGGCACATTAACATATACTTTATCTTTTCATTCTTTTCATCAGATGGTTGAAGGTTGAGGGTCCGGTATGGCAGGAGGCATTGACTGTACATATTAACAAACGTAGTCCTATCTCCGCCGTTCTAACTAATGTGCCACAACTTCCGCGGTCAATGGGCAGTTTCAAAATGGCCGCGGGGGCTGGAAAATGTGAAAAAAAAAACGCATCTGCGCATGCGTCAGCCGGCACGAGCCCCATTCATTTAACGAGTGACTTAAAAAATTCACAGCGACTAAACTATAGACTGGTCCAAAAAAATTCACCCCCCTCAGCATTGACACACATGTGGAACGGAGCTTTGGGCCAAGAGCCAACTTTTGGACCATCCTGTGAAGACGTTTTTGAGAGGTAAGAAGATGCTATATGTTAGCATTGGCTAATTCTTATTCCGGGTCCACCCCCATCGGCCCGGGGTGGTATTGCAGCATGTCAGCGCACGTCATTTTGGCCACTTTTGAGCCGGGACCCGCCCACACTGGTTTGGGGTCTGGCTTCTGTCCTCATCATGTGAAGGGAACGAAAATAACACCGACAATGAAAAGTGCTGTGTAAATTAATAAATTCTCCTCCCCTCACAGAACGCTCCGTGTCGAATCGAGCCGATCTGTAGTTTTTTACATATCATGAAAACGATTTAGTTATCATTTATTATCATTCCTGAAACACAACTTATAATGTGTATTTTATACAGACTTATGGCAAATAAAGTGACTTATGTTGGGCTTTTTAAAAAAAAATCTGCATTACTATCGTTCTCTTGAAAATTCCTAAATTCTCGCTTGAAAATTCCCAAATTCAAGCTCTCACGGACCAGGATGAAGACTAGGATAAAGACCAGGATGAAGATTAGGCTGAAGACCAGGATGAAGACCAGGACGAAGACCAGGATGAAGACCAGATAGTGTTGGTTGGGGCTTTGACTCTGAACATTGTAAAGCTCTTTGTGACCTTGGTCTGTAATAATGCGCTATATAAATAAAGCACTGACTTACTTTGGGTGTATTTTCATCCTGATAATGAGTTTTTCACTGCACAGATTTAATATTAATCAGTGTAATCGATTGCTGCCCCAGTTTTCTCAGGTCCATGTGAGTGTGAGCAGAAAGTCAAGAGGAGCCAGGCCTCTCAGGACCCGGCTCCTCTTGACTTTCTGCTCACGTTCACTCTTCCAACCCATTTTCCTGGAGCATATTTCCGTCAGCCAGTCGTGTGCCCTCCTCCGTGTGGCTCCGGGCCCAGGGCTGATGGTGAAAGCAGGACTTCTGGGCTGGGCTTGATCCCACAACAGACAGGGTACACTTTAACTGGGACATATTAGGCCAAATAGATGTTTTAAGAGCTTTTCACCAGAGTATAAGAGTTTCCCCCGTATTATGTCTGTCTGAAGTTGGATTTAGGTTCCTGCATCTTTATTCTCCATTTTGCATTCAAACGCCATTTATAAAGCAATTTCTGTTTTCTCAGACTTGGTATTTCAGCCCGGGACCAAATGGCATTAACCTTGAGAGCTCAGGGTGAAGTTTTGCTCCAACTCACTCCATATACAGTATACACACTCACCATTTCAGGCTTAAGATCTGTGGTAAAATCTCTGACTTTAGCATAATAAAGAAGACTGTATAACATCGCTACCTTTAGCATAATAAAGAAGCAAGTATAAAATTGCTAACTATAGCGTAATAAAGAGGCAAATATATAATCTCTACCTTCAGCCTCATAAAAAAGCAAGTATAAAATCTCTAGTTTTTGCATAATAAAGAAGCAAGTAAAAACAAAATCCTATATATTCTACTACAAGAAAGATAAAGTTGTATGTTTACATCTGTATGTTAGCAGCAAGTGAAGTGACATATTTACAAAACTAAGCTCTTCGGTTGCTAGGTCGTTGCTATCCACAATCAAGAGCGACCCTGGATCTTTGTCGCGTCGGACAGGGGCTGTGTCGGTGGTTGCTCTTGTCTGGTTTGTGTATCTGGGCCTTTAAGTGTTATGGTTCAGTGACATGGCTTCAGCAGTGGCGGGGGTCTGAGCTTTGATAAAGGATTAGTTTAGTCCCAGTGTGAGACTTCTATGTGTGTATGTGTGTGTTTGTGTGTGTGTGTGTGTGTGTATGTGGCTCACCCAGATAAGCCCCGTGGTTCTTGAGCTCCTCTGGGAACTCGTGGGTGTAGGAGGCCTTGGGAGGGATGACCTTTCCCTGCCGCGTCTCCTTCAGCACGGCCCCGTTCCAGTCGTAGGCTCCCACGGCTCCCACCACAATCCCATCCTGCACGACAAACCAAAACACAGGATGATACAGTCACTGATGCGGATACAAATCTGGGACAGTCTTCCTGAAAATGTGAGCTAGGCCTCTACTCTGACAATACCCAGGTATCTTTACTCTTTTTAATGTATACTGCGGTTATTTATGTGTTTCTTTCTTGTTTTGTTAAGCACTTTTAAAGGAGTAATGTGTACAAATCTCGCCAAAGTGGTACTGCAACCTCCCCCACTCTCCCTGACTTAGGTTGCCAGATATGCTGACGAATCCAGCTGGAACCATAATAAATAGACAAGAGTTTTGTTAACAACAAGTTATCTACATCTATACATCTTTAACCAACACTTTTTTCACAAAGGCCTCGATAGAAATCCTGGTTTTGTTCCTTGTTTTGAGAATAATAACAAGATTTAATTCTGTTGCCAAACGGTACTTTACCAGTGAGATTAGCTCCACACGAGGAGTTCTTGCAAACCAAATCACAGACTTTCTGATGGGCGAAACAGTGGAGGGCGAGATATCGAAATTAAAACAAGATAAGATATTCCTTTATTTGTCTCACAGTGGAGAAACGTCATTGTCATCGTTGCGCACATTACAGCAGAGAAAGAAGGAAACAAGAGCACTCAGATTGCATCAAACAGAGTCTATTATTTAGGATAATAGAAACAAAAACAAGATTCAGGCGCTGTTCTACTAGTTTTGAAATTGGAATACATTCGGCTGAACATAGTGCTTTTACGGACACTCAAAGACGCTTCACTTGTCATTATTCTTTCACTCCATACATGGTGGTGATAAACCACTACTGTAGCCACAGCTGCCCTGGGGCACACTGACAGAAGAAAGGCAAGCAGCATGTGCCATCGGCCAACCATTCACACACACCAGACTCATTCATGGCAATGGGGGTGAAGTGTCTTGCCCAAGGACACAACGACAGCAGACATCAGTGGGAGTCGGTGGAGAAAGTTTTGTGGTGGGCTCGAACCCACGACCTTCTGGCTCAAAGGCCAATGCTCTACCAACTGAGCTACTGTCGCCCTAGATGTTTTATTAATGCCTTTTGACGGATCAGATCTTTAACTGTGCTATTCAAATAAACTTGCCTTGTCTTGCAATAAAGTCGCCTTCTTCCCCACAAGGTCCAATCAGTTCAAACAAGTATTGTAATGATTCATTTATTGTATTGCTTTTGTTGATGGACCATATAATGGCAGTTGTTTCTTGTACTTTGTAGCTTGTTTTTATTTTATATATGTGTCTGGTGAACACCGGGGGACGTTTGTACATGTATTCCAATGTGGTTTTACTTCAAATGGTAAATAAAATGAATCTGAATCTGACAAATCAACACGTCTTAACAGCAGTTCAAATCATAGCCTTCATGACACTGGGCCGAAAATCTTCCCCCTTACATTACGTAACATTTTTTCCAATAAATAATAATACAGTGAGTTTCTATGTTGCCCTAAAGATGAGACAGAGGCCAAGAAATCATGCATCTAAAAAACTGGTGAGAGAGACCTCGTTAGTTGGATTTGGTTACATCGTTCTATTTTGTGGTTTGAGAGTTTGCTATTCCATTTTTTAAAGTAACTTTCCCTCCACCCTTGGATGAGTTACTTCCTGCAGACGGATTGGGAACAAGTGGCGTGTGCCGTGGAGGGGGCTGTGGACTGTACGCTGTCAGTCAGAGGAGCAGAGATCCCAGCTGACACCAGACATGATCAGACTGGAAACACATTTACACAGTTGTGGTGCTGTCAGGGAAGACAGGTGGAACGAAGCCATGAGTGTCATTCGGGCAAACATTTTATCCACATTTTATACAGCAAGACGGGAAAGAGAGCCAGACATGTGAGAACAAAATAAGATGCAATAAGCAACAAAGAAACAGAAGCTAGAGGAAAGAAAGGACATTAGACAGTAAAAATTGTGTGTATGTTTGTATTTGCTACATCATGGGGACTTCAACCTGACTGCACACAGTGTAGTGGGGACCAAAAATGAAGTCTCCATGGGCAAAGCATCACTTGAGGCTTTACAACACCTCAGAGAAGCTCAGAGAAGGATCTGGCCAGAGTCAGGCTGACTACCACCCCCCAACCCAGAGATGGTTTAAGGGGAAGAAAATGGATGGATCTAAAATCAACTTCAGGTCAAGGAAATGAGCAAAGAGTGTAGATTGACAAGGAAGACAACAATGGTGGTGGCGGCCATGACTAAAATTTAAAACAGGGCGAAGTTGTCGAAGGTACTAAAATTCATTTGCAACCAAGTTTTCCCGTTTGGAATGGGAGTAGTATGAGGTGCATTAAAAACAGGGTGGCATTACAACCAGCATGTGAGGATGTACGTATTTTGCTTTTGCGGTTTTTATACACATACATACATACATCTGTAAGTACCCATTTACACACAAATACACACACTTACATACAAATTTACTAACATACATATTTGACAGGGAAAAACTTGGGTATTTGGGGTATAAGAAATCCAAATATTGACTGTATGGGTTCTGATATCTGGACTTCACTTGCTTATTTTTTATGATAACATTTTACTTTTACTCCTTGCTTTTAAACCCAAATATTAATAATAATAAATGGGTTTTATATAGCGCTTTTTTGGACACTCAAAGACGCTTCACATGTGTCATTATTCTTTCACTCCATACACGGTGGTGATAAACTACTACTGTAGCCACAGCTGCCCTGGGGCACACTGACAGAAGCGAGCGGGAAAACCACTGTCCATGAATGTTAAAGGAATAGGCCACCGTTTTTACATACTGACACATGTTCTTACCTTAGACTAGTTGATATGTACCTGTCTGGTCTTTGTCCGTGCGCTCTGTCATGCAAACGGAGCACAAATGCAGCCTCTTCCACAGACTGTACAGTAACGAATAAGCTCCCGTTAGAAGCTACCAAACTCTTCCAAGTGTTCCACGTGTTCCAGTATGTAAAAACGGTGGTCTATTCCTTTAATAAATGTCTATAAATGTCCTGGATCATCGCTGTCCTTAGAACCTACAGTCAGGGACGACAAAAAAGTGGGAAAACAAAGAGAAACTTGGTAAGGCCCACACAGAGAGGAATCTGCTCTCAAGGAAGGAACAGGTGAAAGATCCAGGACCATTGAGGATCCGGACTATCCAATGAACTTTCCTTTTGTTTTTTGGGGGGACCATCTCTGTGCGTGGGTTATTAGGCACAGGCTTTAGGATTGAATTGGTCGCCATCTTGGAGAGCTGGGACTACGACCTGGCAGAACATGAATGAGAAAATGACCATGTAATCAATCCAAACCTACTAGAGTTCTGCCATATTCAGCAATGTTAGAACTGAAATCTTTGATGCACATTCTGCACAGATACTGCACTCTGTAAACCACTGTGTGTCGTCCGAGCACCGGTCTGGATCTGCCCCTGGAGAGGCCTGGACAGTGGTCTGGCTCAACCCCTGGAGAGGCTGGGCAAGGACAGGGGGCAGCAGTGGTTTGGCTCTACCCCTGGAGAGGCTGGATCAGGACAGGGGGTAGCAGTGGTCTGGCTCTGCCCATGGAGAGGCCTGGACAGTGGGCAGCAGTGGTCTGGCTGTGGTCACAACAGTATCCATGGCAAGTTCTCCAAAGAGCAGCACAACACAGGCCTGACCTACTTCACTCCTAAGCATGTTACCATTTCCACACTTCAGTAATATTTGATCTGCTTTGGCTCCTCATGGATTCCACATAAATAGTTTGCTTCAAGAAGACAATTTGCGAATGCTGAAATCCTTGTTAAACCGTAATTGATAACTCTGAATTTCAACACAACATGCACAAAGCAACACACTGTCCATTGTTCCAAGTTGTCCACATTTGGAATAGATACTAACGTGCAATCGATTTGTGAGTCCGAAAAATGGAGGGAAATGTTTATGTGAAGCCAGGTCACTGCAGAGAAAGTGTCTAATGGTTAAAACTGCGACTTCTGCAAATCTGCTGGAACCAAAAGCATGTAGGCCCCCCCAAAGTTTTTCATATTTTTCAGGAAGGCCAAAAGACATTGATGATCCAGGACATTTATGGACATGTGTTAACCTTTACGCACAGTGATCATACCGCCCCCTACCTTCAGGGCGGAAGCAGACCCCTCCGCTGCGCGTCGCTTTTTCTCGCATGAAAACCTTAACAGATATTTCTGAAAACCTCTGTGCACGTGTATCAAGAATGTATGTGTATAATGTATTCTCCGATTAACATTTAAATGTGTTGATTGATTGGTATTTGCGTTTATTGAGCGTGGCTAGCTCCGATAGCGACGAAGTGGCCAGAACTACTTGCGGAGTAATCTACACATCTGAATTACAAGCAGAGGGTGCGTTGCCAAAGGGCAGCGGTCATTATTGTTTTGAGAGGTCGGTTTTCAAGAAATAATGACCGGTAGAACGTTTTAAAATCACATTCAAATCAACGGAGCGTTCTTCTGCTGCTGTGAGGATCCGTGTGATAAGTTCTAATAACTCCTATGTGTTTGTTAATATTGCATTTCCTCTGTTATACGTAGTCCTTTAGTACGTGGTGGTAGGGGAAATAGAAGCACATGGAGAACATGCAAACTCCACTCAGAACGGCCTGACCAGTGTACAACTGCTGACAGCTTTCTCTTTAAAGGTTTGGGTGATTGTAGACAGGAGAATCTCGTCTGCAGTGCACACAGACTCGCGCTCCAGTGACATCAGCAGAGCCCAAAACCATCTGGCCCTGGGCTGTTTTTCCCTTTAAACACTACACATTCTTTCCTACTTTTTTTTCTCCTCTTCTCTTCGACTCCGGTTGGTGCTACAAAAATACTAGATTTCCAGTCACCACTCACCGCCCCATGTGCAGCTTCTATATTTATTCTTGTTATAAATTGGAATGTTTATTTATGGGTCCCAGGATAAATGTCAGCGTGAAGAGGAGCTGGAAAATCAAATGAAATGGATGATGAGAAATGAGAGAGGGGCCAGAGGCAGATCCAGGGACGAGGGACCGGGGCTTTTGGAGCAGGTGGCCCGAGGACAGGACTCAGCGCATATCGAGAGGACAACAAAGAATGAAAATAAGATATATAAGTAAAAGTGCCCCTGGAGGTGGGGAGCTGAATGTTTTCCCGTCGAAATGAGAGCACTTATGGATCCATCATCAAAGGAATATTTCTCCACATGGACCTTACCCTTTAATGTTCACTCCTTGTGGAAATCAATGTCATATGTATTTTTCAGTTTCAATGAATCAATCATTTATTTGTCTCGCTAAAATCGAGAACAAGGCAATTCAAAATACTTCACAAGAACCAACACAGATCAAAATGCATTAAATATATTCTAACTTCGTATTAAACCAGGGCAGTATAAAAGTATTGGGCTTAAAACTCGTGTGGGTTTTAAAAGAGACACACAGCAAAGATTAGTGCAAAAAATAATCAATTGTATGCACAGCTGAACAGATACGTTTTCATCTAGTTTTGAGCATGGGCAGGGTAGAGGCTTAAGACCTAAGATATAAGAACAGTAATTACAAAAAAAATGTTGTTTTTTTATTTTATTTAAAACATTTTAACCCTCTAGTTGTTAAATTATAGATCTTTGACAAATTGTGAGATGCAGGTTGATGGTAAAAGTGCCTAAAACCAAGTGATAGAGACGCCCCAATGAGGTAGATTTCAGTTCCAAGCTTTAAGTAGATTTAGTGACTCCAAAAGTGATGCAACAAAAGGATGAGAAAACCACTAAAGGGTTAAAGATAGATTACCTCACTTTTTGTTTGGATTAATATCACATAAACTCGAACCCTTTCAAAATGTTGAGGCTAAATCACACCACAACACGGCGTCTTCTTCTTATTTGAAAACACGGTATTTTTGAGCTCACCAAGTGTTTCTCTGAATAAGTTGTGACAGATGCCAAACTGTTTTGAGATGGACAGTATTTGCAGAATTGAAAGGGGCGACAGCATAAGCCTGAGATGTGTCACTCACCTCCACCGTGTGTGCGGAGAAACCAGCCTGGGACATCTGTAGACCAAACGCTGTGCCGTTCTTACTGGTGCCTGAGTCAGAGAGAGAGAGAGCTGTCAGACACACCAGGAAGTCATCTGGAGGATTTCCACACAGCACTTTCACAGTCATGTCATGTATGTGGAGCCAACACCAAGCAAGAGAAAATGGATACATTTTGTCTGTTTATGTTGAAGACTTAGAAGGTTCTTTTATTAAGACAAAAAAGTAAAGAACGTTGGTACTGCTTGATTACCACATCGACAGTAGACTTCCGCCTTCGTCAGAGGAGACAAGTGATGGTGTGACAAGAGATCAATGAAGGATATCTTCTTCTCTTATCTGCTGTTGTTGTGGTCAGTCTGATAGATCTCACAGATCCGTCAGATTGGCCCCTCAATCGTCTCATAAATCAGGGAGCAGGGTGCACGGAACATCAACAGAGACAAGGGGGCTTTCACCTTGGCTCACACTTAGGATTCACTTCTCCAGAGACTACAACGCAGCAGGGGACGCGGTCAGTCTGAAGAATCTGTGTCAGACTGACCACATCTGGCAACAACAGCTGATAAGAGACGCCTCACACCATCACGTGTCTCCTCTGACGAAGGCAAAGTGTACCATCGAAACATGTCAGGTAATTCAGCAGTACTTTACTTTTTTTGTCTTTTTTTGGCTTCCCTAGCAAAAATATTGAAAAAAAAAGAACATTTTTTGGAGCTTCTGAATAACACAAACACTTTTTTTGTCTGTATTGGTTGTGTACTGTATGTGTGGCCATTTGTTGTAAAATCAGAAAGTGTGTGTTGCCCTTTAACATCTATGACATCCTTTAGTGGAAGTTGTAAATGAGTTTTTTCCTCCTCTGATGGTAAATGCACATTCTTCATCGCCGAAAGCCTCCAGTTCCTGTAAGTATACACTGTAAATGTGCATGAGCTGCACATTTGACCTCTCCACGGATCGGTTCATTGATGTCAGGGGAAAAAAGCGGTACTCATTAGGGATCTCGGAAAGAAGGCCAAAACAATGACATTTATCTGCCAGGAGAAGCCAGGTTTGACGTCCCATTCTAAAAGATTGGAAACAGTATAAACAATAGTACTGTAACGTTGCAGTATTTGCAGTACAAGTTGTACTTTTTCCTAACATATACGGCAAGGGACCGAGTGTTGCAATGAGGGCGTGGCCTACATGTTCCAAATTCATATATTTCTAATGCAAGTGTGTTTTTCCCTGAATTGATCTGAATAATTGGACTAAGCGAGTTATCCAGTTTTCTCTCGCACTCATAGCTTAAGGTCAGATCATCTCCGACTAGATTTTCTACAGTACCGGTAATCAGTTTTGTGTACAAGGCTCTATTCATTCCCTGTGGACACGGACCGACCTTCCAGGCTGAAGATGCGCTCTCCCAGGGCGTCCACGATGTCTTTGAGTGCGGACTCGTCGGTCACGTTGAAGAAGTGCTTGTCGTCTGGGTCGCTGGCGATGTAGCGGATCTCGTTGAGGAAGGCCTCCGGGTTGATGCCTCTGCGGTTGTAGTAGCCCAGCACCTGGAGCGAGTGGAGGAAGGACAGGGGGGAGGTTATGGAGAGACGTATGGTCCACTGGGAAAGAACTGTGAGACCGAATGTTGCTGACGACATGACCTCAAAGGTTTGTCTCTCCCACAAGAGCCGTAAACACATGCCTCAGCTTCCCGGGATGATTTAAGACCATCACAGCAGGTGAGCAGAAACACATCTTTGGGACTAGATACAGTAAATCCAATGAATATTTGAGGAGAACTCGATATATTTGTTGTAAAGAAAAAAATACAACTCTAATTTTGATTAGAAATGTATCAGATGCTAAATGGCCACTTATGAATTGTTAACCATGCTACATTTTTGTCAATTCAATTCAATTCAATTCCATTTATATTTGCATAGCCATATATGGGAGGATTTGACAAAGTTGTGGGTTTACCATAGCAGATCAGAGAATCAATGTCAAACAGTTCAAACACAGGACATGCAATAATAATGAATACAAAGGATGCTACATGGTGAGATGAAGAAGGAAAGCAAAAATATATATGATGTGGTCATACAGACTGTGGTCAGACAGACTGTGGTCAGATAGACTGTGGTCAGACAGACTGTGGTCAGATAGACTGTGGTCAGATAGACTGTGGTCATGTAGACTGTGGTCAGAGAGACTGGTCATATAAACTGTGTTCATACAGACTGTGGTCAGATAGACTGTGGTCAGATAGACTGTGGTCATGTAGACTGTGGTCAGAGAGACTGGTCATACAGACTGTGGTCAGATAGACTATGGTCATACAGACTGTGGTCATACAGACTATGGTCATATAGACTATGGTCATACAGACTGTGGTCAGATAGACTATAGTCCATACAGACTATGGTCATACAGACTGTGGTCAGATAGACTATGGTCATACAGACTGTGGTCATACAGACTATGGTCATACAGACTGTGGTCATACAGACTGTGGTCATATAGACTATGGTCATACAGACTGTGGTCAGATAGACTATGGTCATACAGACTGTGGTCATACAGACTGTGGTCATACAGACTGTGGTCAATAGACTATGGTCATACAGACTGTGGTCATACAGACTGTGGTCATACAGACTGTGGTCATATAGACTGTGGTCATACAGACTGTGGTCATATAGTCTGTCATTACTTGGATCCCACATGAATCCACACAGGTGAGTCCAGTTTTAACCTGAAGATTTGAGGAAATGGGTGGATCATCTGTGCTCCTGCTCAGTTTGGAACTGTTGGAAGTAAAACTGCAGCCACATGGCCCTTTCTGGAACCGGTTTGAGACCCTGTCTTAGACCCTCCTGCATCGCAGGAGGAACAGTGGAAAAAGTGAGAAACATCCCACAGACGAGCTATAGATCCAGACCATGTGCATACAATTATGTTTTGGAGATAATTAAATCTTCTCACCTGTTGTGCAGGTTTTAAATAATGTAATTCAGATACAGTTTCTTTCTGAGCAGGTTGCCAATATTATTTGACCATGATTCTTTTTCAGGTCAATAAATAATAAATAGTTATACTTTTCAAAGCTATTTAACATCAAGGATTCCCTCTCTGATTCACAAACACGGTCGTACAGCAGTGTACACAGACGCTGGGTTCAAGGACACACAGCAGCATTCACCAACACGAGCTGCTTTCACACCTGTGGTCACACCTGTGGCTCAGTGCTTCTGACCGCTCTCCTCTGTGTTTATGAAAAGAGCAGCTCAAAGGACAAGCGCTCGACCTGCTGTGCACATGCCGCCACATAATCCAACAGATTGAGATTAACAGGTCCTTTTATCATCCCACTGTGGGGAAGCACTCTGAGCTTTAACAACATAACACTAACATCTGTATCGTTAGCAAATGATGAAACACATCATAATATACTGTATACACTAGTAAGTAAGTAATCTTTATTTATATACCGACTTTCACAGACCAGAGTCACAAAGCTCTCTCACTCCACACAGAGAGATGGGAGCGGGCCAGTACAGGAGGGCATGCCAGACCTATTGTACATGTTTTTAGTGGGAAACTGCACCCGGAGGGTGTCTACGCAGACACGGGGAGAACATTCAAACTCCACTCAGAAAGGGTTAGGGTTGCACTAGTGCTGCCCACTAGTATAAGAAACATGGTTCAGCATGTAAATAACCAACAAAGGTGCAAAATAGGAATATGTACTTTTGATGAAGGACGTGAGGAGTTTCTTTTTTGGGACTCAGTGTAAAAGTGGGTCACATTTCCTCTTTCTCAGGCAGTTCTGTGCTCAGCCGGTCCAGTCTCAGGCGTCTTCTGCAGAAATGTGGGGGAGGCGGGCACAGAGGGCAGCCTCAGGGTGATGGAGGCCCGCAGGGGGAGGATGGTGGTGGACGTCCGGCTGGAAAAACAGAGGGGAAAACGCTTATGGAGCCCGCATTAACATCAGCCACACGGCCAACCTGCGCCTGTCCAGCCTGCATGTGAAGGTGAGACTGGCACGGACCCAAAAGGAACCAAAGGAACCAAAAGGTCAGGGGTCATGTGTGTGTGATGGTCAGACAGTTGCTGCAGGTGAAAGCCAGATCCTCTCAGATCTCTGAAGCTAAGCAGGGCAGGGCCTGGTTAGTATTGTGATGGAACTGGAGACCTCTGGGAACGCCAGGTGCCACAGTGAGGCGGCTGCTGCTGTAAAGTGTGTGTGTGTGTGTGTGTGTCTCTGTGTGTGTGTGTGTGTGTGTGTGCGTGTGTGTGAGTATGTGTGTGCCTTTCTGAACAGACACTCACTCTGTGGTTTTGTTGCATAGGTAAAACTGTCAGATCCTGGGGTTTGAGGGTTATTCTAATGTTTGGAATATTGCTACTTGACAGAATGTGTTCAGGGGTCATGTGTGTGATAGCCATACCTGCATGTGAAAGTCAGAGCCTGACAGACCTCTGAAGCGAAGCAAAGCTGGGCCTGGTTAGTACTGCTATGGGAGACCTCTGGAAGACCAGGTCCTGCTGCGGCTGTAAAGTGCCACACTACCGTTGTGTTCTTAGGCAAGACACTTCACCCATTTAGAATGAGTCTGGGGTTTGTGTGAATGGTTGATAGTGGTCGGAGAGTCATATGGCACAGACTGATTGCCTCTCTTCTATCAGTGTGCCCCAGGGCAGCTATGGCTACAATAGTAGTTTATCACCACTATGTTTGGAGTAAAAGAGTAATGACATGTGAAGCGTCTTTGAGTGTCCAACAGGCGCTGTATAAAACCAAAGCATTATTATTATTACTATTGTGTGTCTCTTGTTGTGCAGGACAACTCTGACATCAGAATCGTGTGTAGCAGTGAGGACCGTCTCCGTCTGCAAAGACTCTGCAACGTCAGCGCCCCGTTCATGAGAGCCAAGTCTAAGGTAAGAGATAATCAAGGGAACGCGCTGGAAAATATGTCAGGAGCTAATGCGATCCATGCTTTCACGACTTTTACAGTCCTGTGATGCTGCTTTACTCGTGTTGCTTTGTTCTGCTCATAATGTTTAATGTTTCAGATGGTTTTAATCCATACTCTGAGCAGAGAAATGATAAGCAGATGGACAGGCGGCTCTCAGAAACTATAAGAAACTATGTGAACTAGAGCTTGCACAACGATTTTAGTGCGTTTGACCAGAATGTGGGGTTTATTCATATTTTTCACTGACTGTTTGTGTGTGCATATGTGTGTAAGTGTGTGTGCGTGGGTGTGTGTGTGTGTATATACGTATACTGTATTTATATATATATATATATATATATATATATATATATATATATATATATATATATATATATATATATATATATATATATATATGTGTGTGTGTGTGGGTTTGTATGGATTTAAAAAAGATTGTGTGGTGAAGGTGAGAGGATTTAAAATGAAGTAGGCAACACATCTGGCACTTCCTGGTCCTTTGCCTCTTTCAGCATCGGACATGGAAGCCATCTCCCAAACAGGAGTATAGGGGCCTGTTTACCTCTATAGGGGGCCGACCAGGCAGAGGTATAGGGGCGACTAGGCACAGCTACAGGGTTCACTGATTCGTTCACGTTCATACTATTAACACTTCCTGACGCTTTGGACGTAGGAATGTGCTACGTCCAAAACATAAAAAATTGTCCCAAATATCTACAAGCTAAAGATGATAAAATAATTAATAGACACAAACATTTTTGGTTTATGCATTTATTTTACTGCTGCTTGAAGTTAGATTGACACATTGTACAGTTTAGTGTGGAGTGAGTCCTGTTGGCAAGGGGAGTTTATTTGTAAAGCACAATTCATAAGTGCTGAACAAAACAAGATATATGTATGTATTTAAGTATACATGTAAGTATAATTATACAGTATGTATGTAAGTGAGGATTTGTGGTCTATCTGAACAGACATTCATAATTACATCTTTAGAGCTCTGCCCCAAGCGGCCGATCAGAGAATCCTGGACATAGCCTCAGATACTGGGGATTTAAGATTAAGATTCATCCCACAGTGGGGAAAGTTACAGAACAGTAGGAATGAGGAGAACACTGCACAGAATCAATCAGCCATAGCTATACTTATTAAAATAAAACAAAATCTCTAACTCCAGCATCAAAGAACAAGTATAAAATCTCTATCTTGAACATAATAATAATTAAGATGTATACATTGTTTCTCTACTGTTTGGAATATTGCAACCTTGGCAGATTGTGATGTTATTGTGAACTGAAAACGAAGGTGAGAGCTGCAGTTGCGCCTAATCTAGTCTAATCTGAGTGTGCCCCGTAATGAACCCACGGCCCGGGGCTTGTGAAGCGCACATGGGAACCCGGGGAAGCATTGTTTTTGTAGAACGGAGCCACAAAAATGTCCGAGAGCATTTCCATTATTTACAGTGGTTTGTGTGCGCCGGGGTGCTGGTGGTTGTTTCCGTCTGTTCAACTCAAGTTTGACAATAAAATGTTATTAAAGGGTTCTGTGGAATAATGAAAGGCTTAAAACTATGCTGAAACAGGACTGGAGACTCTCGGAGAATTTGGTGAATACAACTGTGGTTTCTTTGAGTAACCCTGCATTTTTGAAAATCCATTCCAAGTGTTCAACATGAATCTTTAATCATGTTTAATTGTTCCCTAATTAAAAACAGCACGGTTTTTACACATATTTAGTCAGGGTACACGTTAAAAGACCTTTCAGCGTACAGTAAGCTTGAATGTAATATACTTTGTTATGGATTTTATGTGGTTATATTGTGCAGCACTTTGGTCGCCTTGAGTTTTTGTAAGGGGCTTAATGAATAACGAAGGATTGAATTGATTGATTATCTTATTAGCCTCCATTATGATTATTAAGATTTAAAAACAGGCTGAATCTTCACTACTTCAACAGAATCTGAAAATGTATATATAAAAATACATGTATATAATTATGAACGGAAGGAGGGTCGGTTTGGTCCTTTCCTTTGGACCCAGAGTACAGTGCAATCTGCGGCACAAGCCTTTTCCAAAGAGATGTGTGGTATTTACTGTAACGGAGCAAAGGTGAGAATATTGGGTTTTTTTTCCAACAACGGAACCGGTTTGAAAGCTTGTTCATGATGGGACAGAAGGTGATGATTTAAGGACATTTGAAGTCATTTGTTGATGCAGTATTTATTGACGTTCTGGACATTGATCATCCGCTCGTAATGGACTTGTTATTATTGTTTTCGAAACTGTGTGATTTTCTGTTCTGTTTTTGTTGAATCTAGAACTTAGTGCAGTCCTCCTTATGATGATCTAACATTTGTTGCTAACTTAGAGGCTATGTGCGCTGCAACATTGAAATTTCCCCTCTTATCTTAAAACCAGGTGGATGTAAGAAAAGAACGTTTAATGACATTTAAAGATGCAGTCAGTGATTTTTACAGATCCCTAAACCCTAAGTATCTTGTTATCATATGTTTTCAAATAGTAATGGAATTGACCAGATGCCTATAGTCGCCAGAAAATAATAAAAAATATTTTGGAGCGGACCGATAAAAATAAACCAATGGGATTCGTTCATCCCCAACGAACCAATGAGATGCGTTTACCTCCTTCACCCTCTTACTGTTTCTCACAAGTGCACCTAAGTTATCAGATATCCCTAAACCTAAAATGACTGAACAGAAAATGCCAATTTCACGTACGCCGCACACTCTCCCTGTTGTGACAAAGAAAAAAAAATGCTGGATGTTTGGTTTTGTGTAGAGGCGAGGGGAGGGGGGAGTGGTTTCCAGTTGATGCTACGGCTAAGCTAACAATATTGCGTACTGCACCTTTAATAATTACAAGTTACATACAGACAAAGACAAAAGGAAATTAAACCGGGAGAGAGATGCTGTATTGGATTGAGGTAAAGAGGACCCAAGGAAGGCCCAAGAGGTTCACTTTTTAATGAGCTGAAAAACGGAAGCGAGCCCTCACTGTCCCTGAAACAGTTGTTGTCTTGTGTTTTACAATTTTTCTACCTGAGATGTTGCTGCAGTACAGTGTTCATGGTTTTACACTGGTCCAGACCAGAGCAGAGAGGATTCATGGTCCGAACCAAGCGGATCAGGCGAAATCTGTCTGTAATTATTGCTATGTTTGGTTGCAATGCTTACACTGTACACACCTCGGCAAAAAGATGGGTCGCAAGCGGGGTTAGATGCCGAGTCGCTCTGACACCAGCCCTCAGTGTGTGAGGAAAGGGCGCCCTGGGGTTTGGGGTCAAAATTCCCTGATTTTTGTGCATGTTTTTAATCAAGATAACTATAAACGGTTGAATGGAACAAGGCTTTGAAGTTCAGACTTGGCTTCTCTGATATTTTTGTAGCAGGAGATAAAAACTCTCCCTTTAATTGGCTTCTATAGTTCAGTTTGAGCCGGCATGAGGTCATCCAGGGGCTTTTTACAGCAGACATAAAAGAGCCCACTTTAAACAGTCCTTCCCTAATGCTTTGTTGAGGCTTTTGAAAGGGGACATAATCCGCTGGAAAGATAACACATGTGATATCACAACATCGCAAATAGCTTTTTTTTCAAGATAACAAACATTTGCAGAAGTAGCTACTAGAGATTTATGCTAGATGGTTCTTTGCTGATATGTGTACCGTACTTTCAGGACTGTAAGGCGCCTGTATATAAGCCATACCACCTACAATGCCTTGCGAAACCTTTCAAAATTTTGCCACATTTCAGGCTTCAAACATAAAGATATAACATTTTAATTTTTTGTCATGAATCAACAACAAGTGGGACACAATCGTGAAGTGGAACGAAATTTATTGGATAATTTAAACTTTTTTAACAAATAAAAACTGAAAAGTGGGGCGTGCAATATTATTCGGCCCCCTTGCGCTAATACTTTGTAGCGCCACCTTTTGCTGCAATTACAGCTGCAAGTCGCTTGGGGTATGTCTCTATCAGTTTTGCACATCGAGAGACTGGAATTCTTTCCCATTCTTCCTTGCAAAACAGCTCGAGCTCAGTGAGGTTGGATGGAGAGCGTTTGTGAACAGCAGTCTTCAGCTCTTTCCACAGATTCTCGATTGGATTCAGGTCTGGACTTTGACTTGGCCATTCTAACACCTGGATACGTCTATTTGTGAACCATTCCATTGTAGATTTGGCTTTATGTTTTGGATCATTGTCCTGTTGGAAGATAAATCTCCGTCCCAGTCTCAGGTCTTTTGCAGACTCCAACAGGTTTTCTTCCAGAATGGTCCTGTATTTGGCTCCATCCATCTTCCCATCAATTTTAGCCATCTTCCCTGTCCCTGCTGAAGAAAAGCAGGCCCAAACCATGATGCTGCCACCACCATGTTTGACAGTGGGGATGGTGTGTTCAGGGTGATGAGCTGTGTTGCTTTTACGCCAAACATATAGTTTTCCATTGTGGCCAAAAAGTTTGATTTTGGTTTCATCTGACCAGAGCACCTTCTTCCACATGTTTGGTGTGTCTCCCAGGTGGCTTGTGGCAAACTTTAAACAAGACTTTTTATGGATATCTTTGAGAAATACCACTCTTCCATAAAGGCCAGATTTGTGCAGTGCACGACTGATTGTTGCCCTATGGACAGACTCTCCCACCTCAGCTGTAGTTATCTGCAGTTCATCCAAAGCGATCATGGGCCTCTTGGCTGCATCCCTGATCAGTCTTCTCCTTGTTTGAGATGAAAGTTTGGAGGGACGGCCGGGTCTTAGATTTGCAGTGGTCTGATACTCCTTCCATTTCAATATAATTGCTTGCACAGGGCCCTTAAGATGTTTAAAGCTTGGGAAATCTTTTTGTATCCAAATCCGGCTTTAAACTTCTCCACAACAGTATCTCGGACCTGCCTGGTGTGTTCCTTTGTCTTCATGGTTCTCTCTGCGCTTTAAAAAGAACCTTGAG